AGGGCTTCTGTGGTGGTGGGTATACAACCTAACTTACCAAAATCAGCTTCAGATTTTATACTCGCTTAATTGCAGTAATGTTTGGAAACATTACTCCTTTATAGCTGTCTCCCTTTCACCCCTTTTTTGTGGTGTTATCCATATTATAGCTGTTAATATTAAAAAACTGTATAAAACACTGCTTTCATTATTTACTTAGTAGTTAATTAAATATTCATTACATTGGTTGTTATTTCCTTAGCTATAACTTCATTTCCATCCTCCTCCTTTATTCTGTTATTGGCAAATATATTACACATACATTACTTTTCTATTTGCTATAAGCCCAACAACATATTCTGTCCATACTATTTCATGTACGTTTAAAGTCAGTTACAAGAAAGTAGGAAATAAACATTTATAATCTCCTATCTTCGCTGATTACCAATGATCTTTGTGTGAATGTATGAATTTGAATTACTACCAAGGGTCACTTGCTTTCATCTTGGAGGACTTCTTTTAGTATTTTCTTTACAAATTTTTAGAAATTGTGAATTGGGTGAAGGTTCACAGCTAACAATTTATACACATTCTATTTCCTGTAGTGTTTGTGTGATAAGGTATACCATCTAGCAATAAGTACACTTGGTTTTTGTTTATCTGTGAACCCTGATTTCTGCCTTCTCTTTTGAATAATAGCACTGCAGGCTATAGGATTCTTGGGTGCAGGTTTTTTCCTTTGAGCACATTGAATATGCCATCTTACTGCCTTCTTGCTGGAGCCCTGGTGGCACAGTGGTTTAAGTGCTCAATGGCTAACCAAAAGTCTGTGATTCGAACTGGCCAGCAGCTGTGAGAAAGAAAATGTTGTCTGCTTCCAGAGATTTATAGCTTTGGAGGGCAGTTCTCTGTTCTGAGGCTTTCCTGAGTCGGAATGGACTGCATGGCAGTGGATTTCTACTAAGAACTTGGTTGTGAAACTTACTGGTGGTTCCTTTGTAAGTAATGATCTTTTTCACTTGCTTCCTTCATGTGTTTTCTTTGTCTACGATCTTCAAGTAGCCCTGCTGGTATGGTGCTTACTGACTGGTTGAGATCCTCAAGGTCTGCTCTAAACCACCAGCTGCTCCTCGGGAGAAAGTTGAGGCTTTATACTTCGGTAAATAGTTACAGTCTCAGAAACCCACTGGGGCAGTTCTGGTACTGAGGGTTTTTCTTGCCCCCTGGGATTTTTGTTCACGATGGTGTCCATTCTTGGGTCTCTTTGTGTTTGCCCTACTTGAAGGTTGGTGAACTTCCTAGATGTTTAGGTTTTGGATTTTCAATAAATTTGGAAAATTTTCAGGTATTTCCTTGAATATCTTTTCTTTCTCTTTTCTGATTTCTCATTATATGTATGTAGGTGTATTTAAACAATCAATTTTGTACATTCTTTTTTCTCTCTTCAATTTGCATAATATCTGGATTTATCTTCAAGTTCACTAATTCTTCTGTTAGTTCAAATCTACTGTTGAACTCTTCTGTTTAATTTAGCTTTTATACTTTACAGCTTCACAATTGCATTTAAAGTAATTTGATACTCTCTTGATGTAACATTGTTGGTATACTTTCTTTTACTTTAATCATGTTTTCTTTAGTTTGTGAACATCGACGGGGTGCCAAAAAAACAACAACCGGACTTTTTTCCCCAAAGCTATCTATGTATTTAAAATTTTTTAAACAAAACAACCTCACCTTCAAAACACTCTCCATTACATGTAATACATTTGTCAAATCTGCAATTCCATTCTTGGAAATATTTTTTAAACTCCTCTGGATGGTTGACAGCATGCTGTTCACTTACTCCGTCATTACTACAAACGAGGCTCGAGCAAAACCGCTGGCCTTGTAGATAGCAGCCTAGTGCATAACCATTGCGCCACCAGGACTCCCTTTTTCGTTTTCCGTTTTCCCACAAACTTAAAAAAAAAAGCCCTCCTTTAGAAGAAAGTAGCTCCCAGAAAACACAAATGCTGCTGACATGAGCCCTCCTAAGGTCAGGGCACATTTCAGCTGTCTTATTTTCTGGGAACTACCGTATATACTTGTGTATAAGCCGAGTTTCTCAGCACATTTAAAATGCAGTTTTTCTGGTACAGTTGGGTGCCTCGGCTGATATTAGGGTTGGCTTATACTTCAGTATATATGGTACTTTCTTCTATAGGGGAAAATGTTTATGGGAAAATGGAATTATAGATTAGTGAAGCCCCCTCAGATAGTTTTCTGTAGTCCCCTGAATCTTCTTCCTATTGCTGTTTACTACAATCTCTACTATTTTTGAGAGATCCTTGTGGTTTAAATGCCTTGCGAGAAATAAGGCCAGTTTCTTTGGGAAGAGTTCATCTTTTCTGGCTTGCTCTTCCAAAGGCAGAATCCCTAAACTTCTGGGGGCTCTGGAGTTGATGGGGTTAAAGGCCAATTTCTCTTGGAGTGACTGCCCTGCTCTGGATAGTAGTAAATAGCCGGAGGCCCTTGTGGTTTCCTTCTCTTGGTGTTGAAGGAATCACACCAGTCTACCAGGTCCGAGGTAAAACCTCCATGACAGAAGCGAGTTCGTGCCTCTGGCCTGGCCTTGCCCAGGACTTGGCCTCACTAACAGGCTGAGAAAGGGTAAGGATGATAAATGCTGAGGGCCCTCTGTCTGGGAGCAGGGTGGGAGGATCCTTGTGTTCTTGGTTGCTGTCACCTGGAGTGGAGTTGGCCTCCCTGAGCTGTGGGAGTTAGAGGGGATTATATGGGAAGGAGTAGTTTTGGTTAACTACCACAGATTCTTGCCTTTCTTACCCAGTTTTCATAGACTTCTTGAATAGATTTCTGTCACTTGTTGTTTGCTGTTAGGACTGTTTCCATAGTTTAAAACTGTTTCGCTGGGGAGTGTGTCATGGTGTGTCATGGGTTAGCACCACTGCTTTTGTATCATTGAATCTTGCTTCAGTTACAATCCCGGATTTAGCAGCTCTGAACCTATAGTTCACAATTCAGGAGTGATATTTTTTTACTGCTAGAGAACAAAGATGAACTAAAAGGGATTTCTTTTGTGACGTGAGGATATATATATAATATATACATATATATAGGTTAATTATTTAAATTGATATTACACATTACATTTACTTTCCTTAAAATGCCAAGGACACAAAAGTTATAGAGTGAAGTTTTCTTCCTTCTTCTATACCCAGAACTGTTCAGTTCTGCTCTTAGCAACAACTACAGTGACCACTGTTTGTGCATTGTACACATTCATAAGCATTCAAATATACATTTAAAAGTATATATAAGGGATGTTTAATATACATATAAAAGGATATATATAAGCATATAACAAATAATGTACATATATTTTTCCCCTCTTACAAAACTAACTTTCTATTTTGCTCTTTTCACTTAAAGTGTAGCTTTTTAAAAAAAATCATTTTATTGGGGGCTCGTACAACTCATCATGATCCATCCATCCATCCATCCATCCATCCATCCATCCATCCATCCATCCATCCATCCATTGTGTCAAGCACATTTGTGCATTTGTTTCCCCTCATCATTCTCAAAACATTTGCTTTCTACTTGAGCCTTTGGTATCAGCTCATTTTTCCCCTCCTTCCCTCTCTCCCCTCCCCCATGAACCCTTGATAATTTATAAATTATTATTATTTTGTCATATCTTACACCATCTGACGTCTCCCTTCACCCACTTTTCCGCTGTCCATCCCCCAGGGAGGAGGTATATGTATGTATCTGTCCCCCCTTTCTCCCTTACCTTCCCTCCACCCTCCCTGTATTGCTACTCTCACCACTGGTGCTGAAGGGTTCATCTGGCCTGGATTCCCTGTGTTTCCAGTTCCAATTTGTACCAGTGCACATCCTCCCGTCAAGCCGGATTTGTAAGGTAGAATTGGGATCATGATAGTGGCGGGGAGAAAGCAAGCATTCAAGAACTAGAGGAAAATTGTATGTTTTATCATTGCTATACTGCAACCTGACTAGCTTATCTCCTCCCCAAGGAAAATGTAACTTTTAAGTATATCTAGAATTTCCTTATTTTTGTTTTTTGCCTGCAGTGTACTATGAGATGTAGAAAGACCATTTATTATTCTATTAATAGTAGTCTTTTGTAATTAACAAATAGTGTTGCATGAATAACTTTGTCCATGTCATTTTACATCTTTGAGATAATATCTATTATGATAAAATTTTAAAGGTTGTATATCTTTATAACTTTCACATGTTGGAAAATGGCCTTCCAAATGTTTATTTTAATTATATTCCTACCACCAATTATTTGATCCAAGTTTTAAGAGAGGGGATTTGGGTGCAGATAAAACTAATTTGAAATATCTTCACCCACATGTGTTTAGAATAGAGCCCCCAGTATTGGCTTGCATTTTAGCCATGTGTCTTCAACACATCATTAATTGCTTGTTAAAGGGTGCATTGTTGTCTTTGCTGTCCACTGTAAAAAAAAAAAAAAAAAAGAACAACAGCATATTAACTTTACCTCCATGCTCATAAACCATTTCTGGAGGAGCAGAGCCTTGTTTGCCCCAAGTGCGTCAGTGGGCACGGGGCAGGGTGGTGGTGTTTAGATTAACAAGCCTTAAACTTTTTGTGACCTCTTTACTCTTTAAAAAAATTATTATAGATCCCTAAAGAGGTTTTATCTATGTGGGTTATATTTATAATAGTTACTGTATTAGAAACTAAGGAAAAAGTGTCTATTAAGTAATTAAAATACTAATTAAATTTTACCTATTAATATGCATAGATCACTTAAAATAGAATTAAGTACAGATTTTAAAATAAAGATTTAGTGAAAAGAGGGAGCAGCATTATTTATATTTTTAGGAATATCCTTAATATCTGACTTAAAGACAGCAGGACTCTCAAATTTGTTTCTGCATTCAGTCTGCTGTGCTATGTCATTTTGGCTGAAGTATATGAAGAAAATCCAGCTTCAAAATCTGTAGTTGGCAATAAGTGGAGTGTTTTGCTATCCTTTTCAGGTACGTGTAGACATTATTTTATATTATATCCAAACTCAGCAAGTGGACTGAAATAGTTACAGTGTGGAATCATGAAATCAGATTAATCAGCTTTTGTATGCAGTGACGTTAAAATCCATTGGGATATCTTACACTTGAATGGATCTTTTACCCATACATGATTTTAAAACATCATGAATTGGTCAATTGGAAACTATTGGTTCACTGAGTTACCAATATTTTGAGTTACCAAATCTGAGTTATAGATTTTCTAAATAGTTGATGCATTTTATTACATAACATTTTAAAACTCACATTTGTTAATATCACTGATTTCATCAGGAAAATCTTTAAGTATTGAGAATCTGTCAAGCACACAGTTGTTAAAATTCAGATTTTTGCCTAAAAACTAATTTTCTCACTGGCAACAAATACTGTTATTTGTTTTTTGAAGTAACAAGTTCACTTTGTTTATTTTAGTGAAAAACATTGCCAGATACCCACATCTGAAAAACCATAGTTTGCCTGTCAGTTGTTTCCCCAAGTAATCATAGTGTTCCTTGAAAAAGTGAGTGGCTGTTCAGTGCACAGCTCAGGTGCACAGGTGCTTTTCCAGATGATGATTTCTTCGGTATGTAACATCAGTTGTTTTGTATTTCCAATTTTGTCCCAGACAATATTAAAAAGATGCATTCACAAGCGGAAATTTAATAAAATCCTTAATTTTTACTGCTTCATCAAGGATAGTTTAAATGTAAGTGGTGAAGTGAGCAGTATTACTGGAGCTATTGGATGTTCTTGCCGTAACTGTAGGCACCAGCAGTTTTGCCCCATGTTGATTGCCAACATAATAGAAGGAAAATAACATGAAAAAAATTTTAGTGCGTCTTAGGGAAGTTTCCATAGCAAAGGAGGGACTCTCATTTAGCAATTTTTAGACAAATTGTTGCATGACATTAGATGCAACTTTCACGGTGTATCAGCATTCTTAAAATTTCCATATTCTGCTCATTCCGTTTCCATTGATTTAGCTTCCCTGCTCCTTGTTGCTTTTGGGTAGATCTTGACTGCTTGGTCTCATGTAGTTGATTGTTTAAAGGAGCACATTACTTATGGGTGATAGTGCCCATTTTATTAACCAATGTGTTAATTTAGTTGAAAGGTATCCTCTGGTTATGTCTTCAGTTCCAAGTTCAAAAGGTATCTTAGTATGGGTGATAGTCTCAAGGATTCATCTAATCTCTCAAGTTTTTTTTTTTTTAATTTGAATTTTGTTCTACATTTTTATCTCATTCTATATGAGATCTTCTGTTTTGGTCCTGATCAGAATGGTTGGTAGTGGTAGCCAGGCACCATCTAAATCCTCTGGTTTCAGGTGAGAAGAGACTGTGGTTTGAGCAGGCTGTTACTCCTGTGGACTAGTTTATTCTTTGAATCTTTGGTTTCTTTCATCCCTTTTTGCACCAGACAAGTAGAGACCAATAGTTGTATCTTAGATGGCCACTCACAGCTTTTAAGACTCACAGCTTTTGCTACTCACCAAATTAGAATGGAGAACATTAGTTCTATGAACTGTCTTATGCCAGTTAAGTGAGTATCCCTTAAGATTATGGTTCTAAGTCTTTCAACCCCATAAACCATCCTGTAAGTATTTGGATATGTCTAGACAGTCTCTGTAACTGAGCTGTATTAGGAATATATGTGTAGCACACATAAAACTGTGTGTGTGTATACATACATATACATATATACACACATACACACATATTTAATGGCATGCTTATAAATGCTTGTGTGTGGGCTCACATATGCCTTCAGATGCACATATATGCACACACCTTTACTATACTTCTATTTTTTGGTTGTTAAAGAATTATATATATTATAGCACTTAGCAAAAATGTTCTTTATTCTCATGTGCTTCTTATTGCCTCTTACTTGCTTTAATCAAGTTGTGCACACTTCAACTATATTGAGTACTGCCCTTCTCATCACCCAAAATCAATGTCTACTATCCAGAATGCTTCCTCCTTCCTCCCCCTTCCATCCCTCGTAGTCATCAAAGCACATTATGGGCCTTTAGGACCATGATGAACAGTGCAGCATCTATTATATAGCCAGTGGGCACCTTTGAAGGATTTAAAGGAGAGCTGTGTATGTAAGACAGGAGGCGAGGTGAGTGATAACACAGTTTACAATAAAACTTGTAAAAGACAGAACCTGTGTAAGGAAGAAACTTTTTTTTCATAGAAGAAAAAAACCAAATATTTTCCACTCAAATATGCTATAGAAAAGTGGTAAACCTGCATGCACTTGTCAAAAGTGGAAAACTTAAGATACCTAGAGTTCTGGCTCTCACAAGCTCTACTGTAATTTTAAAAAGTAACTCTTTGTCACAGTGTGCCTGGTGATAAGTAAGGAGGTCAGTGGAAAATGAAGGGGCCCTAAACTAAGGCACTGGCCTTGTTCATGGAGTCATGGAGGTCCCGGCTATACCGGCCAGTGCAGGGGTTGTTGCATGTCCTGCTTACAGCTCCATTGAGTGTGGTGGACTCAGTCGATTAGCTAGCTGCACGAGAGCACAAACTAGCTGCTTCCATCCTCACATCAGTCAGTTATAACCTGTCCCTTCAACTAGCCCTATATAGGAAGTTTCCTCTGGAAGTAAGGCTAATCAAACATCAGAAATGGCTTAGTATCTCTTTTGCATAAATAACTTTCAAAGGTAATAAATTAGTTTTATCTGGGTTTTGATTTTCATATTAATAAAATCATATGATTTTTGTGTGTAATTTTTTTTCTTTGTTCAATGTTGTGGGAGGCTTGAATCTAGTGGCATATAACTGTGGCTTGTTCTTTATGACTGATGTATAATAATCCATTTTCTGACCATAAAGCATAAGCCATTAATCTATGCAACTAGATTATGACTAACATTGTTGCACAGAGAAAGACACAAAAGAGTGGTGGCACAGTGGTTAAGCACTTGTCTGCTAATCAAAAGATAGGTTGTTTGAACTCACTGCTCCCTGTGAGAAAGCTGTGGTGGTCAACTTCCCTAAACATACACAGCCTTAAGAGTTCTCTTCTGACTTTGCAACTTCTTCCAAACTACCCTGATATTACTATTGTAGAAAAGATAAATTCTTTCTTTTAAAATTAGAGATAAGTCCTTTCTTCCTAGGTGATTCCCTCCCCTACCCCACCCATGCTTTCTTTTAGTTGGTAATAGCTAAGAGTTACCACTCTGGGCTTTGGGTCCAGTGCCCAGCTCTTTCACAACTTTTTAATCATCCAGACTTAACTAATTTTGGCTTTGAATGAGAACTTTTTTTACCAAGCACTCAGAGAAGTCAGGGAGGAAAAGACACCACAGCAGGGGAAGGTGTTTGGATGGCAGTCGTCTTGAGTGGACAGTGTTTTTATACGTGAAATGAATGAGAATTTTGGGCAAGGCACAGATGTCAATGACCTGTCAGCCCATCAGGATGAATCAGCTGACATCTTAGGTGAGATGACAGTGTCAGTTCAATGAGTCCCTTGCCCTGAATGTATTGGGTCTTTCATTAAGGTAGCTGTCACCGCCCTTCTTTCAGAGAACAGTCAGTCATTGTTCAAGATTCGGCTGACTTTAAAAATTATTTGTTTTGAAGAGGTATGGTTGCTTTCAGTGTCAGTGCACCATTGGAAGTGACATGTGGCTATTTGTCAGATTACAGCCATTTTGCTATGTCCAAGTGTTAGAATAGTTGCGATGTTTAAAACTTGTCTGTAGGTGACTAGAGAGTATTCTGTTTCTCCATGGAAGTTTAATTAATATCCTTGGGTCCATATCTTCCCCCAGAGAAGTGAATTTTGTTAACTGTAATTTCTGATTTATTCTGTTGACCAAACCAGTGATAATTTGATGGGAATAGGAGCCCAGAGTTGGCATTTTATTGCAAAAGGTGGATGTTGCCTATGGAATACAGCTGATTAGAAGGCTAGACTAAGTATCTTTTTCTGGTGACAGAGTCATTACTAAAATTTTATATAATGCCCACAAGTCCCATTGATGTACTGATTCTTCCCGCTGTGGTGAGGTTAAGCATTTAGAGTGCTTCACAGTACTGCTGTCAGCAGTGATTGCTTCAGGGGTGTTCGCATCTTGGGTCAGTTAGCTAAGTCATCTTGGGCTACACTCCTCAATACAATGACCGTAGTCAGACCTTTGGCAACTGCTGCCAGACAAGTTTAGATAGGGGACCCACAGACTCAGAGGACAGTGCTGCCAGATGGTCATTTTGTTTTTAAATGCATGTTAGTTCAGAGAAGGGAACACAGACGTCTGAGAATTCAGGGCAGAATGTAAGAATGAAGATGAGCGCATGGGGTTTGACAGCTTGGCCATTTTTCTGGCCATACAAAGTTTAAAAAATGTGAACTGCTTATTGTATCATAGACGTACTTACCTTTTTGAATAAATCAGACAGGAAATTATTTCCGTGCTCATGTGTTAGGCATTGCGGACACAGATATCAACAAAGCATACAAAATCACTGCCCTTATAGAGAGCTTGTGAGTATGCTGCAAAAGTTCTTGGAAAAATTCCATTGTCTTATAATTCCATTTTCTAATGAACTTTTTGAAGTTCTTTCTTATCTTGAAAGAGGGATAATTTTTGAGTAAACAAATAAGACAGTTATATAGGTTGTTTTTTTCCGTTATATAGGTCTTATGAAATACTGTGAAGAACATAGATGTAGTGATGAGATAAAGAGTAAGGGGGAAGGGCTACTTTAGATCGGATGTCAGGGAAGATCTCTCTGCTGAGTTGTGACATAGGAACTGTCAAGAAAGGCAAAACTAGCATTTCCTTGATGGGAGAGGAGTGATGTAGGCAGAAAAGGACAAGTGGAGAGAAGGGCCTCTGGAGAGGGTTTGTTTTTGTATGTTCAAGAGTAATCAGAGGCCAGCTCAGATAGGATGCTATATATAGGCCTTGGTTGGGATGGTGGACAGCCATTGGTGAAGACAGCTTGTTGAGAAGGCAGTTAAGTAATCTGACTTTAATTTTTAAAAGATCCTTCAGGCTTCTCTTGGGAGAGACAGGATTGCAGTGTCAAGACTGGAAGAAGAAATTTTATTTTAAAAACTACAAGGTGATTGGAGGCTATTGGATATGAATGACAGAAAGGAATAAGCCTTCTAAGAAGTATTCTACGTTTAATTACGGTATAATTAGAAATAGGGTAATGTCTTAGTTATTTAGTGCTGCTATAACAGCAGAAGCACAAACAAATTTATTCTTTTGCCGTTTAGGAGGTTGGAAGTCTGAATTTAGAGTGCCAGCTTTCAGGGAAGGCTATCACCCTCTGTTAGCTCTGGGACAAGCTGCTTTTCTCCTTTCAGTATTGCAGGTCCCAACATTCCTTGGAGATCTCCATGCATCGCAGTCTCCCCATAGGTCTAAGAATTTCTCAGCATAGGGATCCAGGGTCCAAAAGACATACTCCCCTCCAGGCTCTTCAGTCTTGCTCATGAAGTCCCTGTTTTTCTTGCTTAATCTCTTGTATATCCCAGAAAAGGAGCCCTGGTGCTACTGTAGGTTAGGCATCAGATTGCTGACTGCTAGGTTGGTGGTCCAAACTAAACAGCGGCTTCTTGGGAGAAAGATGAGGCTGTTTATTCCCATAACAATTTCTAGTCTGGGAAACCCTACCATAGTGTCATGATGAGTTGGAATCCACTTGATGGCAGTGGATTTGGCTTTTATATTTGAAAAGAGATAGGCTCAAAATGCAACCTAATTCTGGAAATTGTATGCTGACTCATTGACGTAAGGGCCACAGTTCCTGCCTCATTAACAACATTTGGATTTATAATACATAGGATAATTCCATCCGATCACAAAATGGAGGATAGTTAACATACTATTAAGAACTAGCCTAGACAAGGTGACATTAGTTTTTTGGGGGACACAATTAAGTCTGCAAAAGCAAGAAAACCATTACCACATTGAATGCTATTGTGTGCTTTAAGTTATTTTGCCCATAATTCTTTGATTCAGAGTTGAAATCACCTCTTGATGTGGTCTGACTCTCATTGTGCCCAGTTATAAATCAGACACATCAAGGTGTTGGCTTGAGGGGACATGGGAGAAGACAACTAGGAATTTTATTGCACAGCTAAGAGCAAGGCATTTCTTGGGGGAAACATTTGCCACAAGACATTTCAGGACAAAGGAGGAACAATGGCCTGTGTCTGTAGTTCCTAGTCATGTCTCCTCAGCCCTTTCAGTCGTAAGCCAACTATCACACATCCTTAATGCCAACTCCCTCAGGTGCAGAGTTATAAAAACCTAGTTGAGCTTTTTCACAGAACATTTTGTAAAATGTTGGGAAGAAAGACTTTAGCAATGTGATATATATGAAAGAGAATTGACTTAGGGATACTCCTAACTTCAGCATAGAACACAGTGGGGTTTAGTTGTGTGTGTGTGTGTGTGTGTGTGTGCATTTTACATAGATGAGAGAATGTTATATGTTCTGTTTTATATTTATTTTAACTTTTTATTACAATTTGGGTAAAAGTTTATAGATAGATTGGTTTTTCTATTCAGTAATTCGTGACATTTTGTTTCATAACACTGATTGCAAAGGGCTTAGCTATTTTGAGGGCTTCCACTGACACAGACTGGCTTGGACACATTGAGAGTTCCAGTAGAGGCATTCAGCACTCAAGGCTCCTGAAGCCGACTCAAGCAGCCACTCGCCCTCAGGGCCCTATGGAGTCTAAAATGAGAATGAGTAAATACTGCAGTTGAGGTGAGGTGATAATAAATTATGCATTTGCAGTATTTGCACTCAAAGAAGAAAATTCTGTCTCTGGCCTCTTGTTACTTCTGTGTGTCACCAACAAAGAGATTCTGTTATTTCAGCTTCCAGACTTAGCTTCTGTAAAAGGATAATGGAGAATTTCAGCTGAAGAATTATAAGGAGCTTGCTTGGATGTAGACTGTGTACAAGAGGAGGGGAGATCAGCAGAGGGAAAAGAGCCCAAACAGTAGTTCTTATAACGGTGTTGAGAGGGGAAATGGACCCAGAGGATTCAGGACAGGTGCAGGGTTATTGGGAAAGCAAATATTAAGAAATGTTGCTATAGATTTTGAATTGTGCCTCTTTATTTTTCTTTGAAAGTCTCACAAAAAGATTTAAATTGCTTTTAACTTTTGTTTCTTTTGTGTGTGTTTTTTTTTTGAGGTTAGACTTGTTTCTTATATGTGATGCCATTCCAGCACTGGACTCATGGAGGCTGAACATTTATTCAGGTAATAATAGGTAACATTTGTAGAATACATCTACATGCCAAGAACCCTGCTGGTGAGGTGGTTAAACAGTCAAATCAGCTGCTAACCAAAAGGTTGGCAGTTTATACCTATTAGCCGCTCCATGGAGAAAGATGTGGTAGCTTGCCTTTTTACAGATTACAGCTTAGGAAACCATATATACAGTTTAGGAAACTATATATCTATATATAGATATGGCAGTTCTACTCTGTGTTATAGGATTGTATGGATCAGAATGGACTTGATATCAGAGGGTTTTGGCTTATGGGTTTCTGTGTGCCAAGCAACAAGATGTACCCGTACTCTCATTCAGGCCTCACAAAACCTCCAACGGGTTGGAATTATTATTGCCCCTATGTAATACACGAAGAATTTGAAATTCAGGACTTGTCAAGATTGAATTGCACCGAATTGAAGAATTTTAAAAGAGTACTATGATAGTTGAAGTGAGAGATGGCAGTAACTAGGGTGGCTGTCATTGTTAGTGTAGTATAAATATCATGCATGTCAAGTGGTTTTGATGGACCACATTTCATTGGAAATTTAATAGTTTTTCTTGTTATAGAAATCATCATACTTTGTTTGTCTTTGAAATTATAGGCATACCTATTGATAAATAAAAATCAAGTGTAGGATTTTTTACCTCAAAGCTTTTTAGAAAGTTTTTAAGTATGATAAATTTAGTTTCATAAATGTCTGTAATTGTAAGGTAAATATAACTGAGAAATTTGTTTTTAAAAAGTGATTTAATATAGGTCAGGGGTGGAGAACCTTTTTCCTGTCAAGAACTATTTGGATATTTATTATATCGTTCGGCCACCATACTGATCAAATATTTAATTAACCTCACACGTAATATGGTGGCTAGGAACCCTAGTGACATAGTAGTTGCAAATTGGACTGCTAATTGTTAGGTCAGCAATCCAAAAACCATCAGGGCTCCTAGCAAGAAAGATGGGGCAGGGCTATTTTCAGAGAGTTTGTACTCTCAGAAACTCACAGTGGCATTTCTATTCAGTCACTATAAGTCAGCGTAGACTCAATGGCAGTGACGTGGTTTGGGTTTTTTTGCTTTTAATGTGATGGCTGGAACTGCTTGTCTTTGGTGAGGCATGTGATGTGTGTTGGTGATTTCATGGACCCTACCTACATAGCCTTCACAACCCATCCCTGACACAGGTAATAGGAGGAGGCTCCTTCCTGTGAGTTCCTCTCTTTTGAGATACTCTTATTCACACAAGTATTTTCAACTTTAAGGAAACCTATTAAGAGGTGTTTTTTTTTTTTTTAAGAGTTTCTTTTAAACTTATTAGAGCCCTCTTTTTTCTCCTGTGCATCAAAATCCTTAATGATGATCACATTAACTGCAGTACTTGCCAAAGCTAGAGGCAAGTTTTTTTTAAAATCGTTTTATTGGAAGTTCCTACAATTCTTATCACAGTCTATACATACAATTCATTCATTATGTCAAGCACATTTGTACATTTGTTATCATCATAATTCTCAAAACATTTGCCTTCTACTTGAGCCCTTAATATCAGCTTCTCATTTTTCCCCCTCCCCACACTGTCTGACATCTCCCCTCGCTCACTTCTCTGTTATCCATCCCCCAGGGAGAAGATTAGACGTAGATTCTTGTAATCGGTTCCCCCAGCAAGTATTTTCAGTGCCACCAATTGAAAGATGATCAGTTAAAAATTCATATCAAACTCCTCTGAAATGAATTAATGCAGGTTAATGGAAATACTTTTAAGTTTGCAAAAATTCAAATTTATATACTTTGAGTGGTTCTCTATATTTAGTTTTGCCAGTGGTTGTCTGTGTTCAGCAAGGTACATTAAAAATGCTTATCGTACTTACCTAATCAGTTATTGAGTGGCCAGCATAAGTACATTTGCTCCACTTTCCCCAACTTAAAAAAATTAACTTTATTGAGATATAATTATGTACAGTAAATTGCACATACTAAAAATGTACATTTGATAAGTTTGGGCATACAGACACACTCACAAACCAATAAGTACTATCAAAATAATAAACATATACGTACATCATTGGCATGAGTTTCCAACTTCTCATTCTAATCCTTTCCCCTGACCTCTGTGGTCTCCAAGCAACCGTCCATTTGCTTTCTGTCACAAAAAAATAGTCTACATTGTTTCAAATTTTGTATCAGTTGAAATGCATGCACATGTTACTGCATGTTTCAATAGCTCTGTTTTAAAAAATTTTATTACCAAATAGTAATGTATTATATAGATATGCTACAGTCTGTTCATTGGATGGTGGACATTTGGGCTATGTCCAGTTTTCAGTAATTATAACTATAGCTATACTATGAATAGTTATGTAAATGGTGTGTGGACATATACTTTTATTTCTTTTGGCAAGATACATTGAGGTGAAATGACTGGAACAAACAGTAAATGAATTTTCAACTTTATAAGAAATTGACAGATTGCACAACTCTTTTTAATATGTTTAAACTGTTGAATTATATGATATGTGAATTATATCTCAATAAAACTTAAAAAAACATTTTAATTGACAAAACTATTTTTTAAAATGATGGTACTATTTTAATTCCAACTAGCATTGTATAAAATGTTTTGTATTCTTTTTTTTAGGTTTGCTATATTTTCTATTCTTTTTTTTAATATTTTCTATTCTTATAAGCACTTAATATTGTCCAGTTTTTAGTTTTAGCCATTCATGTTGGTGTGTAAACATTTTGTTGAAATTTTTGTTTGTGTATTCATAAGAGTTACTGATCCCTAGCTTTCTTATAATGTCTTTGGTATCAGGGTAGTACTGGCCTGATAGATAATACAAATTTATTCTATAAGAATAAGTTAAGGAATGTTCCTTCTACCTTTGTTTTTTGGGAAGAGTTTTTAAGAATTGGTATTAATTTTTCTTTGAATGTTAGATATGCTTCAGCAATGAAGCCACCTGGACCTGGGCTTTATTTTAGGATGGTTGGCTGATTATCTTTTAAAGATATTGAAATACATGTAATGAATAAAAAAATGTTTTGACCATTTAGTTATAATTTCAGTGGTCTTCGTTCTTCTGGCTAGGTTCAGATCATTGGTGTAATTTTCCTTCTATCTGTAGGACTAGTATGGGGCTACTTAAAAAATAAACAACTAAAATATTTATTTATTTAACCATTTTGGGGGCATGTAATTCATGTACGATACAATTTAGTGGTTTAAATATATTAAAAAGAAATAAGAAATAATATATATATATATTAAAAAGAGTTGTGCAAGTACAGGTCAACTGTTGTTTTAACTTTTGTATATCTAAAAATTAGGCCCTTTTTCACCTTGGATTTTACAGTTTTGTTTATTTTCTGTTTATAATATTTTATTGTGTTATGGTGAAAGTTTATACAGCAAATTATGTTTCCATTTAATAATCTCTATACAAAACTGTCCAGTGACATTGGTTATACTTTCCACAACATTCCCATGTGTCAGCATTCACCTTATTTCTGTTCTAGTTAATCTTTTTTTTTCTATTTTTTTTCTAGTTAACCTTATTTCGATTCCTATAAGCCCTTCTGCCCCTATTTCCTGTATGTCCCGCGTCCCCATTTACCACATTTCTCATCTTTGCTTTAGAGTAAATATTAACCTTTTGATCTCATAGGTGATTTTTTAAAAGAGCCTAGTATTCACAGGTAATATTCTTTATTTTCGAGCCAGTTGGCTTTTTAACTGAAGATGACCTCCAGGAGTTGTTGGGCTCAAAATTTAAAGACTATCTCAGGAAGTTCTCTAGTCTCAACCAGTTCAGCAAGTCTAGACTTTTAAATAACTTACGTTCTGGTCTTGGTTTTTTCCCCCTTTCTTTAGGATCCATCTACTATAGACCTGATCAGGAAATTAGTAGTGGGTGGTGAGCACCATCTAGTTCAAGTCTCAGGGTAGATGAGGCCATGGGTCATGGAGACTTTTAAGTCCTGTGTACTAGTATCTTCTGAGGTTTTGGTTTCCTTTGTGTTGTGCTCAAGATGAATAGAGATCAGTAGTTTTATCTTAGTTGGCTGCTCACCAGTTTTAAGACTATTCATTAACTTGAACATAGAGCATAGACTTTGTGAACTCTATCGTGGCATTTGACCAAGTTGTCTCTTTACTTTGGTTTTTGAAAGATATTTTTTGGTGACTATAGAATTTTTGTTTTCTCAGTATTTTAAAGATGGTCTTTTGGCTTAAGTTGTTTCTAATGAAAATTCTCTTGTCATTT